GTCTTTGAATTTGATAGACATTATTAGCTATGTGGACTCTTGGAAAGAGTTGTTAAACTATGTGGTCGCTCTGAAAGATTCTTTTTTTATCATCTCCTTGGACCATGTGAACTTGACATGTGGACTCTTTGAAGGGGATGTGGATTTTACAAAAATATTTATCCATGTGAACTCTTGGAAAGAGCTGTCGTTATTGGCTCCTTGAACTTGGATAAAGTGATAGAGAGTTCACAAACCCTTTGATGTAGACTCTCTATGGTGAAACTGAATTGACAAATTGACACTTGCAGCAATCCTATAATTTGTTGATTATATTGTTTACTGATTTGTATACAGGCAAGATATTTGTACACATCTACAGATGATTGAAAATAAACACAAGCAGTTCACATAAAACTGTACATGGTCCTTTCAAAAACTTAACTAAGATAAAATACAGAGTTTTAAGGATACAGTGATTGGATTATAAAACAAAACTTAAAATCGATTTAAGTTATTGACCAATCAGAGACTGGAACAATAATCTTATTGTTAGTTCAGTTTTTTAGAACAAGTACCCAGAATACATAACGATTATGTGGACTTTGCTTTGTTTTAAATCATTTCAAGATGTACACAAATATTTTATAGGCTGGAATTTATCTGTACTCTTTGTTTAAAATGTATATTTAGTAAAGTATATTATAAAGATATTTTTGGACGTCCTTGGAGGTTTCCAAACATCAACACAAGCAAGTACCCTGTGTCTTACACTTACTGAAGCCAAGTGTACTGTTTGTGTTTTGAAATATCTTTGCATGATTGAGTGTATAAAAGTGCTAGGCAAACAACACATTGTCTGATATAAGATATACACACAATGTTGACTATAAAAGTGTACATGAGGCTAACCCACACATTCCCTACTATAAGTGTACACAAGGCAAACACGTTGCCTACTACTATTGGTGTATGCCAGGTAAACATGACTGTCAAAGTCTACAGTTTTTGTCAAATAAGACCATGTGTTTGGCAAAGACTAGAGCACATTCTCGACATTGACAAATTCTCACACATATTTCCATTTTTTATTAGCTGTGATTTTATGACTCGAATAATATAAATTTTTCTTGCGACCAAAGTCTGATATAAGCAATTTCTGATTATTTTAACCTGATTTTCTACCGTGTTTCACTTTAGCAACCAAAGTCTAATACAAGATATTTCTGGTTTGAAATTGCTTATATCAAACATTGGTGAAACACGGTAGAAAGCAATTTCAAAGTTGAAAGTGACATAGTCGACAATATGTGGGTGTGTCAAAGTCGACAGTGAGTGCATTGAAGTAAACAATATTTATTAATGTTTGTCAAATTCTACATTGTGTGTGTTGTGTTTAAAGGTCAAACTCCCCTTCCTAAGATACTTTTCAAAATAAATTTATTTTCTGGGTAAACAACAACAAATAATATACAATTAATAAATATAGCCAGACAGTTCAAAATTAACAATAAATGAATGAAACATGATAATATTTAGTGAAAGGTGATTTGACTAACAAGATGTAATGACTGATGGTTCAACTAACAAGATGTAATGACTGACAAGATGTAATGTCTGATGGTTGGACTAGCAAAATGTAACGACTGATGGTTCGATTAACAAGATGTAATGACTGATGGTAGAACTAACAAGATGTAATGAATTACAAGATATAATGACTAACAAAATGTAATGACTGACAAGATGTAATGACTGATGGTAGAACTAACAAGATGTAATGACTGATGGTTCGACTAACATGATGTAATGACTAATGGTTGGACTAGCAAGATGTAATTACTGATGGTTGGGTACTAACAAGATGTAATGACTGACAAGATGTAATGACTGATGGTTGGACACTAACAAGATGTAATGAATTTAACGAGATGTAATGACTGACAAGATGTCATGTCTGATGGTTCGACTAACAAGATGTAATGAATTACAAGATATAATGACTAACGAGATGTAATGACTGACAAGATATCATGTCTGATGGTTCGACTAACAAGATGTAATGACTGATGGTTGGACTAGCAAGATGTAATGACTGATGGTTCGACTAGCAAGATGTAATGACTGATGGTTGGACACTAACAAGATGTAATGACTGATGGTTGGACACTAACAAGATGTAATGACTGATGGTTGGACTAGCAAGATGTAATGACTGATGGTTGGACTAACAAGATGTAATGACTGATGGTTGGACACTAACAAGATGTAATGACTGATGGTTGGACTAGCAAGATGTAATTACTGATGGTTGGACTAACAAGATGTAATGACTGATGGTTGAACTAACAAGATTTAATTACAAGATGTAATGACTGATGGTTGGATACTAACAAGATGTAATGACTGATGGTTGGACACTAACAAGATGTAATGACTGATGGTAGAACTAACAAGATGTAATGAATTACAAGATATAATGACGAACAAGATGTAATGAATTACAAGATGTAATGACTGACAAGATGTAATGTCTGATGGTTCGACTAACAAGATGTAATGACTGGTGGTTGGACACTAACAAGTTGTAATGACTGATGGTTGGACTAGCAAGATGTAATTACTGATGGTTGGGTGCTGACAAGATGTAATGACTGACAAGATGTAATGACTGACAAGATGCAATGTCTGATGGTTCGAATAACAAGATGTAATGACTGATGGCTGGACACTAACAAGATGTAATGACTGATGGTTGCACTAGCAAGATGTAATGACTGATGGTTGAACTAACAAGATGTAATGACTGATGGTTGGACTAGCAAGATGTAATGACTGATGGTTGGACTAACAAGATGTAATGACTGATGGTTGGACACTAACAAGATGTAATGACTGATGGTTGGACTAACAAGATGTAATGACTGATGGTTGGATACTAACAAGATGTACTGACTGATGGTTGGACTTACAATATGTAATGACTGATGGTTGGACTAACAAGATGTAATGACTGATGGTTGGACACTAACAAGATGTAATGACTGATGGTTGGACACTAACAAGATGTAATGACTGATGGTTGGACTAACAAGATGTAATGACTGATGGTTGAACTAACAAGATGTAATTACTGATGGTTGGACTAACAAGATGTAATGACTGATGGTTGGACACTAACAAGATGTAATGACTGATGGTAGAACTAACAAGATGTAATGACTGATGGTAGAACTAACAAGATGTAATGAATTACAAGA